TATGAAATACATCCGGGACTTCCTTGCTAGAAAACTACCATGAAACAATAATGTTGGCATTTTTCTCTGATTTGTTGCTATATCGAGCTGTTCTTATCAAGCCATCAATCAGTGCAATGTCTCCAAATCCTTCCCACGTTTTATCCTTTAAATTTAGAACTATTGACAACTCTCTATACCTATAAATCTTTGGGAATTCCTACATGAATAATGTCCTCCATCTCTGTTCTTGTGGTAAATCATATAATCTTCATCTCTGATCCACTAATAAAACATTTTCATTGCACAATCCACCATTACAACACAGTTAGACTGCAGATTTTTGGAAAAGAATGCTTGAATCATGTAGACTTATTCATAGGTAGCAAGAACAATCCAAAAGTAACTCAAATTCATCAAAGAAATGGGGAACAAAAGAAGAAGTAGGACTTCTTCTCAGGTTGGATTCCTGCGCAGGCAAAAATTCTTTTACCTCTTGAACTCTTCTCACGAATTCTTTCCTCCTAGGACGCATTCTTGGACTTCTTCTAAGTTTCTTTCTCTTAACTGCATGTTGTTTTTCTCTTGTAATGGAAGTCTTCAAGCAATTCAAGAAAAGAAACGGTTTAGGAGTGGGACTCCTCATAGGGGAAAGATTCTTGCGCGGGTGGGGCTCTCCCGTCCTTATCCTTCTCGGCCACATGTGTGGAGCATGTCGTGGGACCCTCAAGGCCGAGTAGGCCAAGATCAACTTCCTTTTGAACCAAGAGTTGGCCTTTGTCATTGCTATACAATCTCTCAAGCCTGCGGGTTCCCAAGTGTACCTCAAGCCCACTTTCTTGAACAATCTTGGACCTTTCTTGATTTTGAGCTAGTTTAGGAAACCAACTTAGGCTGAAAGTCAAATCCATGTTGAAGTTGGAGTTGTGAGAGTCCTCGCAGGAGGAGGATTCCTCTTTCCCGCGGGAATTCTTCTCACCAAGTGATTCCTCCTTTATGCGGGAATCCTTCTCACTGAGGGATTCCTCCTTCTCGTGAGAATCCTTCTTGGCCTGGAAATCCGCTATTCCAGTGATTGCCTCTACCTTGTAGGATATATTTGGCGCATTCGGGGATTTTTTTGGCTTAGCCATGCTCACATCAAGTACCCTCGCTTTCCTTGTAGATACCTTCAAATAGTCCTTTAAAATCTAGATTTCTGATTTGTTCATTCAAAAGAGAGAATATCTTCGCTGCAGACAAGGGTTCCATCTCCAAAACCTTCAAGTAAAGACCAATAGGATTTTCAAAATAATCTATTCTGGTGATTAAGACTGTAAATGAAGGCTGCTTAAAATGAGGAACCAAGGATTCAAATCTTGATACAATTTCATCTACTTTCATCCCCTTAGAAACTCCATCCAAGATTAGAAGACACTTCTTCTTATAAATAGCCACTGATAGTTTCTATTTCAGATAATCTTTTCTTTGCATTTCCTCATCGTCATCATCACCCTTGTCATCTGCATTCCACTCTTGAATTGGCAGACATATAGGCAACTGAGCAGCAATCCTCTCAAGGGGAGATTCCTTGTCATGTTTTTTGCTCAAAGAAAGCCAGACACGTAAATCAAACAACCTTTTTGCTTTACAAGATCACAAACCTTCTTTGCCATCCATGTTTGCCCTATTCCTGGTTTCCCAACAAGACACACTACTTTGACACAGTCAGCAGATAGCGGGTCCAGTATGAATTGTAGGCACAGACCCAGTGTGTCCTCGTTGGCCATGGTTGACCCTGTTGCAAAATATTTTATGACAGAGGTTACAGATTAAGATTACGGGAATCATAGTAAGAATGGTGAAAGTGGGTGTATCTAAGAAGGCTTAAAGATAAAAGAGGGAAGTTCTAAGCTTCTATATCCAAAAACAATTCAGATGTAATGCTGTCCAAGAGAAATAGGAGAAAACTTCCAAGTGTGGTAGAACTCGTAGAAAATTTGAAACAGAATAATCATGAAGAAGAGTGAAGAAAATAAAGAAAGGAACAGAGCTTATTAAAATACTGCAGATTTCATTTGGCTACTCCGATGGAAGCAGTATCAGTTACCAGGAACTTCTTCTGGATGAAGACAGTACAGGATCTTTCTGATACGACTAAACAAACAGAACTCTTTATTGGAATAGGATGCTGGTACTGGAAGTATAATGAGCATCAAATTTCTTCTGTCCTTCCATCATCTTCACCTAATTAGTATCATTATTGACTCAAACAAGCCCTAGCGATTAGACTGTATTGAAGATGATGAGTAAATCAGAATTAATTTTCCCAAAAGAAAAAAGTAGTATGAGCATCAAATTTCTCTGTTCTCCCATCATCTTCACCTAAACAAGCCCCAGGGACTACACTTTTTCCGTTCAGAAATTTGTCGGTGTTATTGGCTCGTCAGAGAAGAAAAAGATGAACTGAGATGAAGATCGGAAGAGCGAGTCCTGAGAGAATTGGATGCTAATTACTAAGCCGATTATATTTTTTTCCATCTATTTTTTTAGTAGTGCCAGTTTTTAAAGATAAAATAAAAAATTCAGGTATTAAGTTATAGAAAAAATTATTTATAAATAAAATAAAAATTAAAATGAAATTTGATAACTTAAATAGTAATATATTATTAATTTTATTAATTAGATATTAAATAATAATAATAAATTTATTATTTATTTATTTGTTTTATTCATATTTTTTTATTAAAATACAACAATAGTAATTGAATTCTCTTTCTAAAGAATCCCAAGTTGCGCCATGCGATGTTAGACTTTGTTAATCAGTCTCTTTCCCCTTATTTCATTCTCATAGAATAAATAGTTCACAGTAGATTACAATAGTTCTGTTTTTTATAAAAATTTATTAGTAGGTATTGTATAAAATTAGAAACGTCTATAATATCCATTATAAAAATATATAATTTTTTATAAGTTTATAAAAAAATTTTTTTTATAAAAACATATGACTTTTAGTGAGTATATATTTTTATTTACTGAAGAGAGATTATAACGTTTAGAAAAAAATATATTATATTATTTTTCTCACGTTAAATTAAAATATAAACAAATTTAAATTTTAGAGTGTCAAGATTACTTAAAATACTAGTACATCCAGAAAAAAATAAAAAATATTAATAATTATTCTTTATAAATAAAAAAATAAGTATTTTGTCGTATTATTTTCGCATTAAAATTAGTTCTAATTTTCTAACAGTAGTATCAGAGCCTAATTGTTTGTATCTATTCTCGCAATAATCACGCTCTAATCTGCATTAAGTTTATTATTTTTTTTATAATAAATCCATAAAACATACTCTTTTTTTTATGTATATTTTTGTTTTTTAAGAATCTAAAAACAAAAACATCACATGAGTGAGCATTTAACTTCCTCTTATTTTTCTCCTAAATATAAATATTGAGATGACTGAATATATGCAATCATTTGGTGGGGTTGTGTGTATTTAATAAAAAAAAGGAAGAGGATGAAGCACTGTGTGGTGTGTGAAAAAGAAAAAAGAAAAACAGTGTATGCATGCAATGCATGCATGAAGGAAGAAAAAAATTAGGTTGAAGATATAAATGTATGTATATATATATATATATATTACTAAAAAAAATTAGGAATGCTGCACTCTGTGTACCAGGAAAAAAAATAATAATAATGCACTCTGTGTGCACAAA